CCAGCTGGTATTTGCCTTGCGTTGCCGCCAATTTTCTCGCGTTCGGCCCCGTGCCCGGCTTATCCTCCGCTGCCACCAATTTTCGTGGTTCGTTCTTGTTTCCGTCTGTCTCTGACCTTGGTGCTAGCCCTGCGTTGCCCCCAATTTCTGTGCGTTCGGCGTTGTTCACCAGCTTTTCGTGTCATCTTGTCCCTGGTTCTGGTGCTTGCCTTGCGTTGCCACCGATTTCTTTGCGTTCGGCTTTGTGCCAAGCTTGCCCTCCGCTGCCGCTTATTTTTTCTTCCTGGCCCTGTCCCCAGCTGTCACTGGTTCCCGCTAATTTCTGTGCGTTCGGCCTTCCGCTGCCGCCAATTTCCTCGTTGTGGCCTTGTATCCAGCTGTCCTTGGCCTTGGTGGTTGCCTTGCGTTGCCATCAAATTCCTGGGTCCTTGTGCTCCACCCGCTGACGCCTATTTTCTGCTTTTCCCCTTCCCCCAGCTGTTCTTGGTTCCCGCCAATTTTCGCACGTTCGACCTTGTGCTCGTCTTTTGCCGCCAGTTTCCTCGTGTCTGCCCTTCCCAAGCTGTCCCTGGCCTCGGTGGTTGCCTTGCGTTGCCGCCAAGTTCTTTGCGTTCGGCCCTGTGCAGTTTGCCCTCCGCTGCCGCCAGATTTTTCGTTTCGGCCCTCGTCCCAGCCGTCCTTGCTCCCTACCAGTTTCTGTGCGTTCGGCCTTGTGCCCGGCTAGCCCTCCGCTGCCGCCACTTTCCTCGCTTTGGCCCTGTATCCAGCTGTCCGTGGCCTCGGTGCTTGCCCTGATCTCCTCGCGTTCGGCCCTGTGCCGGGCCTGCCCTCCTCTTGTTTGGTCTCGGCCGTCCCCAGCCTTCCGTGGTGTCGGTGTTTGCCTTGCGTTGCGGCCAATTTCCTTGCGTTCGGCCCTGTGCCAGCTGCCCGTTCTGTCCGGTTGCCTCCCGTCTGTCTATTTGGTCCTCCGCCCGTGGATCTGTTTCTGCCAGTTACACCTGTGCGCAGAGTGTTCGATGACGGCATGTGGCGCTTTCCAAATTTGTCGCTTGGTTTGCATGTTCGTACGCTCGCTTATGAGTGCTCGCGTGGTGGCCTGCTCTTGCGCTTGCGCGGACAGAGCTCGCAGTTTTTTGTCTTGCGCGTTTGCTTGCGGCTACCTGCACTTTTGGTATCAGTTTGTGCCAGTGTGTGTCTGGCTGCGTCCACCCGTCCGTCCGGCAGTCGGTTCCCCTGACTCTTCGCCAGGTTATGTTCTGCTTTCGCGTTGTTTCACGCCGTTCGCCGCCTCATATGTGTTTTTTGTTTCCAGTCCTCTTGCCTTTGCCTTTCGTGTTAACTTTCCCATTTTTCGATTTCCTTCAGGCTCTCGGTCGACGCCGATATCCAAGCCACGGGCGAGTGTTTACTTTGCACTCCTGACTGACCAGTTGTTTTCAGTGCTGGCCCAAATTTGGCGAACTGGGTTTATGTGTGTTGAGGTTGGTACAGATGTGCTTCAATTGATCGCCATCTTTTGCTGTGTGCATATACTTCGGGGGCGATCATTGGTCCGTCTCTCCTGCCACATCCTTGTCTCACATGTTCAGTTGTTATTGTTTTGTACGTGTCCGGTTGTGTGCTGCCGTGCAGCACATTGTCATTGTATACATTTATGTTGTTCAAAAGGCTGTTCGTCGCTGCCCCAAGCTACGAATGCTCGAGGAAGGTTCGTTTGCTTCCAGCAGGTGTCACTCATTCCCCATAACCTGAGTGGGGTCTTTTTCTCCCAGCACGCCCTCTCCTCCTCCCACCTCCGCCTTCCGCTTCCACTACCATACCCACGATTGCCACTACCATTACCACCATCACCACCACTACTACTTTTATTCTTATCACCACTGTCACTCCTAGTACCACCACTATCGCTACTACTACTACTACTACTACTACTACTACTACTACTACTTCTACTACTACTACTACTACTACTCCTACTACTACTACTACTACTACGACTATTATTTTTACTACTACTGTTATTATTATTACTTCTACACCCACGGCGCAGAATAAGAAAGTTGATTTTTCAGTTTAGACCCTGCCAATTTCTTATGCCGCGGCCATGTTCAGCGCGCCAGGGGCTGCCACTTTCTTACAGGCCAACTTTCTTAAATCGTAGGCGGCGGCGCCTGGCGCCGCCGCCTACGATTTAAGCAAGATGGCCAAGCTGCGGCGGCGACCTCTGTCTTCAGTCGTGTGTTTTGCTTTTTTGCGACTACTACGACGACTACTACTACGACTACTACGACTACTACGACTACTACTACGACTTCTGTGACCGGGGGTGTACTACGACTACTACGACGACTACTATTACTCCTACTATTGCTACTTATTCTATTATCATTACTACTATTATTGGTACTACTACTACCACCACTACTACTACTACTACTACTACTACTACTACTACTACTACTACTTCTACTTCTACTACTACTACTACTACTACTACTACTACTACTACGACTACGACTACGACTACGGCTACGACTACGACTACTACCCTTACCGCTAATACCAGTGCTTCTACTACGACTACTACTACGACGACGACTACTACTATTACTACTATGGCTACTACTAGTACTACTACTTCTACTACTACTACTACTACTACTACTACTACTACTACTACTACTACTACTACTACTACTACTACTACTACTACTACTACTACTACTACTACTACTACTACTACGCTACTAGTAGTAGTAGTAGTAGTAGTAGTAGTAGTAGTAGTAGTAGTAGTAGTAGTGTAGTACTACCACTGCTACAGCTACTACAACAACAACTACTACTACACATCCTAGCCTCACCACCGCTACTATTTGTTACTAGTGTTAGTATTCGTATTTACACTACTACTGCTACTGTTTCTATTACTGCTTCTACTACTACTACTACTATTATCACTACTACCATTACGATTACTACTACTACTACTACTACTACTACTACTACTACTACTACTACTACTACTACTACTACTACTACTACTACTACTACATATACTACATATACTACTACTACTACTACTGCTGCTGCTGCTGCTGCTACTACTACTACTACTACTAGTACTACCACTACTACTGCTACTAGTAGTACTCGTATGACTATTATTGCTACCTCTTTTTCCACCAGAGTTGTTTCAGTATTACATTTTCTTCTTCTTCTTCTACTACTTACACGGTGTCGTGCCCCTGCCACCCCTCCACGGGAGCCTTGCCAGAGCGACGAAGGTAGTGGACCATCATACCATTTACACGGCTTCGTGGCGCTTCCACCCCTCCAGGGAGGCCCTACCAGAGCGATGAGGGTATCGGAATACCATACTATATACCCGGTTTCGTGCCCGTCTCACCCCTTCAGGGAGGTTCCGCCAGAGCGAGGAGGGCAATGGAGTAACATTACACGGTTTCGTGCCTCTGCCACCCTTCCAGGGAGGCCCCGCCAGAGTGAGGAGGGTAGTGGACCACCATACTGTTTACATGGTTGTGTGGCCCTCCCACCCAAGGAGACCCCGCCAGATCGAGGAAGGTATCGGAACACCATACTATTTACACAGTTTCGTGGCCCTCCCGCCCATCCGCGGCCCTCCCACCTCTCCAGGGAGGCCCCGCGAGAGCGAGGAGGGTATCAGAACACCTTTTTTTTCACGGTTTCGTTGCTCTCCCACCTTTCCTCGGGGGCCGTGCCAAAGCGAGGACGGTATCGGAACACCATACGATTTACACGTAATCGTGCCCTTCTCACCCCTGTAGGGCGGCCCTGCCAGAGCGAGGAGGGTATTGGAACACCAATACGATTTACACGGCTTCGTGCCCTCCCACCCCTCCAGGGAGGCACCGCTAGCGATGAGGCCATGAGAAAACCATACTGTTTACACGGCTTGGTTGCTCTTCCACAATTCCAGGGAGGCCCGCCACAGCGAGGAAGGTATCGGAACACTATGCGATTTACACGGTTTCGCGCTTTCAAACCCCTCCAGGGAGGCCCCGCCAGAGCGAGGAGGGCATCGGAACACCATTTTTTTTGTTTTTGTTTTTTTCCTGAACTTGAGCACCATACGGTTTACAGTGTTTCGTGCCCCTCCCACCCATGCAGGGAGGTTTGGTCAAAGCGGAAACGGTATCGGAAAGCCAAATTATTTACACGGTTTCGTACCCCTTCCCACCCCTCCAGGAAGGCCCCGCCAGAGCGAGGACGGCATCATACCATTATGCTATTTACACGGTTTCGTACCCTTCCTGCCCCTCCAAGGAGGCCCCACCAGAGCGAGGAGGGTTTCGAAACACCAGCACCACACTATTTACAGGGTTTCGTGCCACTCCCACCCCTCCGCCACAACGAGGAGGGCATTGGAACACCACACTATTTACACGGCTTCGTGCCCCTCCTGCGCCTTCAGGGAGGCCCCGCCAGAGCGAGGAGGGTATGGGAACACTATACCATTGGCCCCGCCAGAGCGAAGAGGGTATCGGAACACCATACTATTTACACGGTTCCGGCCTTTTCCGCTCTTCCAGGGAGGCCCCGCCAGAGCGCCATTGAGGCTTCTGACGCAGCCCACAGAGGCCCCGAGCGCACCGACAGAGACACCACCACGCTGCCCATTCAGACACCCATAGAGGCCCCGAGTGCGCCCACAGAGGCCCAGCCACATTGCCCAGTGAGGCCCCTGACATAGCCCACTGAGGCCCCGAGCCCGCCCACAGAGGCACCACCACGCTGCCATTGGGGCCCCCTGTGACATTCTTATGTGGGGGACTCTGGTAGCAAAATTTCCCGTTCCGACGTACAAGTCTACGCACTTGATGTGCTACCCAGTGTTTCCAGTCGTGACCCTCCTATGTGTCTGTAAGTCTTTTGCAGTGACAGCATGACCGTGTGGGCACGTCAGGACTACCAGGCAGTTCTTCACCTCTTTGCTTTTGTTTCGTTTCCGCTGCTGTTTCAGACATTTTGCAGCAAATTTGCCGGACGCCGATCACATTGAGTCGTGGATCAACGTTTCTCTGCGCGAGGTTCGCCTCGGGGGAGCAGGCTGCATTTTCGGAGCATTGTTACAATGGCGAGTTTCAATGGCGAGTTTAATGGTGGCCTTGTCGACAAGCTCACTGAGTTGAGGTTTCGCATAATTATGGGATGGGGAAAGCGACAATTCTACGCTTCATGGGGTGTGCGCGTATTTGTGTTGTATGACACTTTGCATTTTCAACAGAGGAGGTTTTGGGACAGTCTAGGAGTCGTGTGCAGATTCTACGTCAATGTCGACTGAGCATCTCCAGAGTTTGAGAAACTACTTAGGATTTTGGCCAGATGCTCTGCAGGTTTTCTTTGGGCAGACGCACGTTGCAGAGTCGTCTGGGAGCTCTCCTGTTTTCGTCAGTGTTCGCGACCAGGCAGTAGCGACGGTTGTGGCAGAAATCATTGATGCGCATGTCCTGAGATGTCTAGCTTTGCTGTCGTGTGAATCCACCACCGCGCTTGGCTGGGGCGGGTGGGTGGTGAGGTGAACCAGGGGGTATTAGCCGACCCCTTGATTTTGGCACCATTGCCTGCCTGGAAGGAAAAGAGCGCACGGACTCAGTCAAACACAAGGAAAGGCTTGTAGGGTTGGGCATGGCTGGATACAAGAAGCCAAACTATCTAAAATCAAGGGTTCTGACACACGCACGCATCAACCGCTGCGATCATCTAGGCGAATGTGTTAAGATAATCTCGCGCGTGTATTCAGCTCTCAGCCAAGCTCTCAAGTGGCTTCCTCAGCATATTATGTGTGGTGGCTCCGCTCAGCGTGGTCCCTAGAGGTCTCCAGACGTCCCGAGAGGCTTGCGGGAGGCCCACCTCCTTCTCCACCTCGCCGCCTTCGTTTTTCCCCTTCTCGCACTCCTCTGCCCCTCTCCTCCCTCCTCCCCACCCCCTCGTCCTACCTCCTCCTCCTCCTCCTCCTCCTCCTCCTCCTCCTCCTCCTCCTCCTGCTCCTCCTCCTCCTCCTCCTCCTCGTCCTCTTCGCTCTTCTTCCCCGTCTCGCCCTTCTCGGCCTCCTCCTCGCCCTTCTCCCTCCCTGCATCCTCCCTCTCGGGCAGCCGCGCGCTTTCTACGCACAAGGAGCGGGCACCTGCCAAACAGAAGCTTTATCCGCCCTTCCTGTGTGCAGCGATCGCGCGGTCGACGCTGCTTACGATCACGACCTTCTGTAATGCAGGCGACACTGGCTACCTCGATGACCTGCTGGACTCTGGCAGCGCTCAAGATGAGCTCATGTCTTCTTGTTCCACTTTGGACCCGAAAGTCTCTGATGATGGTGGCGCGGCTGCCGATTTGATCGGTGCTGGTGCTGGAGTTCGCCAGCGCTGGTGCCATCCAGAAAAATACAGATTTCGAGCTCTGGCGGCTGACTCAGCTTCTGGTGGAGGGTTTCTCCGAAGGCTTAGGCGACCCGTCCTCCTCCTCCTCCTCCTTCTCCTCCTCCTCCTCCTCCTCCTTCTCCTCCTCCTCCTCCTCCCTCCTCCTCCTCCTCCTCCTCCTCCTCCTCCGCTCTCCTCCTCCTCCTTCCTCCTCTCCTCTCCCTCCTCCTCCTCTCTCTCCTCTCTCCTCCTCCTCCTCCTCTCCTCCTCCTCCTCCTCCTCCTCCTCCTCCTCCTGCTCCTCCTCTCCTCCTCCCCTCCTCCTCCTCTCCTCCTCCTCCCTCTCTCTCTCTCTCCTCCTCCTCCTCCTCCTCCTCCTCCTCTCCTCCTCCTCCTCCTCTCCTCCTCCTCCTCCTCCTCCTCCTCCCTCCTGCTCCTCCCCTCCTCCTCCTCTCCTCTCCTCCTCCTCTCCTCCTCCTCCTCCTCCTCCTCCTCCTCTCTCCTCCTCCTCCTCCTCCTCCTCCTCCTCCTCTCCTCCTCCTCCTCCTCCTCCTCCTCCTCCTCCTCCTCTCCTCCTCCTCTCTCCTCCTCTCCTCCTCCTCCTCCTCCTCCTCCTCCTCCTCCTCCTCCTCCTCCTCTCCTCCACCTCCCCTCCTTCCTCCTCTCCTCCTCCTCCTCCTCCTCCTCCTCCTCTCCTCCTCTCCTCCTCCTCTCTCCTCCTCTCCTCCTCTCCTCCTCCTCCTCCTCTCCGCTTCCTCCTCCTCCTCCCTCCTCTCCTCTCTCCTCCCTCCCTCCTGCTCTCCTCTCCTCCTCCTCTCTCCTCCTCCTCCTTCCTTCCTCCTCTCTCTCCTCCTCCTCCTCCTCTCTCCTCCTCCTCCTCCTCCTCCTTCCTCCTCCTCTCCTCTCCTCCTCCTCTCCTCCTCCCTCTCTCCTCTCCTCCTCCTCCTCCTCCTCCTCCTCCTGCTCCTCTCTCATCCTCCTCCCTCCTCCTCCTCCTCTCCTCCTCCTCCTCTCTCCTCCTCCCACCTCCTCCTCCTCCTCCGCTTCCTCCTCCTCCTCTCCTCCTCGGGTCGCCTATGGCCCCGGGGGAAAACGTGCCGCCTCTGCGCATGCCGAGGCGATGGCCCAAACCGATCCTCGGGACCCCCTGCCTCCGCGGAGCAAGGCTTCTTGGTTGCGCTCGACGCTGCAAGCGTGCCGCTGGAGATGCCTCACACGCTCGGCCCTCCACCCGCCCCCGCTTGCTCCTGCGCAGCTCGCCCGGATCGAGGCCAACGAGGAGGAGGAGGAGGAGGAGGAGGAGGAGGAGGAGGAGGAGGAGGGGGGGGGAGGAGGAGGAGGAGGAGGAGGAGGAGGAGGAGGAGGAGGAGGAGAAGGAGGAAGAGGAGGAGGAGGAGGAGGAGGAGGAGCGCATCGTCCGCGTATGAGCCGAGTCCAGGCTGCACGGGCGGCTCGCCATCGTGAAATAGCCCCTTGTATCGCCCAAACTCGAAGTTCACGCTCTAGTATCTCTTCCGCCCAGCTCTGCACGCCGCATCGCTCGGCTTGGCGACTGCTTCTCTCGGGCGTTCTGCGTGGTGCTCGTGCCACAAGCCTCGGGGACCTGGGCACTGTTGGGCTCACCGACCTGGCACATAGTCGCCCGATGTGCACGACGGCACCGCTCGAGCTTTGAAGCGGCTTTCACCATTCACCACCTCGGAGGTGCACACCACGTTCGATGTATGGCAACGTCGGACGAGCCTGCCAGGGGGGGCAATCTTCGGCGGCGAGCGAGGGGGGAAATGAGAAGGAGAAGGGCTTCTCAGAGGGAGGCGGGGCTTCTCAGAAGCCCTCCGGCCTTCTGAGGAGTGTTTTGTGTCTTCGGGGATGGCTTAGAACACTTCTCAGAAGGCCGGGGGACTTCCGAGCCTTCTGAGAAGGCCCGCCCCCTCTTATTTATCCCCCGGGCGCGCCGCCAAAATCTGTCAACCTTTGTCCTGGCCGTCTGGTCGATGACACCGACCCCTCTGACTACACCATCGCTGGCTCTATGCTGTCTGCCACGACATTCTCCAGCACGAGACCGGCTCCGCGTCCAGCTCCTACTCCAAGTCTGAGTCCGACCGCAGCTCCGAAGCTTGGGTGGTGATGTTTGCTCGGATGGTGGCGGGGACGTCTGCCTGGCCGACCTGGCACAGCGTCGCGTGTTGCGATTGCTGCCCCCGATCCCCAGAAGCCAACTCTACAGTGCTTCTTTGGATCGCTGATTCCTCAAGGACTTTTGGGCCGAGTGGGTTTCCAGAGCGAGAGATTCACATGTATCCGCTCCCTGCGCAACGAGTGCTGGATTATGGGGGGACGCCGAACTGGTGTAATTTGCGGCCGCTCCGGCTGTGGAGCCTTCCAGCGCGACGGTCACCGACAGCATAACGAAGGCCAGCACGACAGATTCCGACAGCACCATGAGCGGTATTGCCGGCGAGTGCGGGCACCCCAGGAGTCGCCGAAGATGGAGTGAGGTATCGATGAGACGAGCTAGCACGTGAGATCTACTATCTGTTTTGCTGTCCTGCCGCGTGGCATTGATCATGGTGGTCGTTTGACCCCTCGGTGATGATGAGCGGGCCTTCTCTTTCACATCCTCCCCAGGCCGACTGCGTATCTCCTTTATTTTCACCACTGGCGTGGAGACAAGCTCTCGGGGCGAGAACCTTCAGCATGAGGGCGCGCAGTCTGCTGCGATGCCGATGCCGACCGATCGACCTCCTTCTCGTCCTCCTCTATGGCTGATCCCAATGTTCTGCAGGTGCAGCTCATCGGACTAGCACCGATAGGTTCGTCGTCATTGTCGTCGTCGCCGTCTTTCTCCCCCTCTTCCTCTCCCCCTCTTCCGCTCCTCCTCCTCCTCCTCCTCCTCCTCCTCCTCCTCCCTCGTCTTCTTCCTCCTCCTCGTCTTTCTCTTCACCTCCTCCTCTTCTATCCCTTTCTCTTGCGAATACTCTGTCCCTGCCACACCACCAGGCGCGTCAGGAGGCCGGGCCTGGCGCTTCGCCTGCGGCTTCCTCGCAAGGCATTGTCCTGGGCATAAGACGGCCGACTGAAGAACTGTAGAGCTCGCCTCTGCGCCGCGCGCACTCGTCCTGAAAGCTTGCGCCAGTCGCGCGGATGTGGGCCGTCACGTTGTCGAAGTGAGGCCCACGCTCGAGACTTCCTCAAACACACCACCACGGCTTCCAAGGGTGCAGCGGCCGCCCGGTCACGGGGCGGATCCCCTGTGAACACTGGAGGAGGAGGAGGAGGAGGAGGAAGAGGAGGAGGAGGAGGAGGAGGAGGAGGAGGAGGAGGAGGAGGAGGAGGGGGAGGGGGAGGAGCGCTCCTGGATACGTGTCCTGCTAGGCTTCGCTCGATCTCGTGGCCAGCTGTCAGCACGCCGCAGCGGCCGCACGGGTGCAGGTCCCTTGCCTTGCTCTGGCAAGGGACGGTCGCCGGGCACGTCCTCGAACCCCCCCGTGCCCCGCCTGTATTTCGCACTCCCTCCGGGCCGAAGGACGGCGAGGGGCTTCCTAAGGGACGGTCGCAGGGCACGTCCTCGAATCCCCGGTGCCCCGCCTATCTTTCGCACTCCCTCGGGGACGAAGGACGGCGAGGGGCTTCCTTCAGGAAGGGAGCTCCCGCCCGAAGTGTGTGGTCTCGTGCTCGGGGCGCTCGTCCTTGGGGCGCTCCGCGCAGAGAAAGAGAACGCAAGGCTCGCAGGGACTGATGGGGAGGGGCCGGGCTGGCGCATTGCAGCATCGTTGGTACATCTTGAGTTGACTTCTCTTCCTCCTCGTCGTCCTCCTCCCACTCCCGGCCCCCTCGCCCCGTCCCTTGCTCCTCCTCCCCCTCTCCGCCGCTTCCCCCTCCTCCTCCTCCTCCTCCTCCTCCTCCTCCTCCTCCTCCTCCTCCTTCTCGTTCCTTCTCCTCCTCCTCCTCCTCCTCCTCCTCCTCCTCCTCCTCCTCCTCCTCCTCCTCCCCTCTCCGCCGCTTCCCCCTCTACATCCCCGTATCTTTGATGGGGTCGTGCATGCCCTCGTGGCGGCCCCCTGTGGCAGCGTGAGGACCGAGGGCATCAGCCGACGCTCGGGGAGGCAGCACCAGACAGCTTAAGTGCGTGCTCGCGTTCGCTGCGTGCTTGCCCGGCTCGTCTGTCCTGCACTGTAGCGCGCTTGCTCACGTGCGATGCAGGAGTCCGCGCGTCATGACGCAGTCACGGGCACTTCGTTCGTCGCTCTGGCGGGCCCGGGGCCAGGTGGATGGACCTCTCCGACTACCTCATCGCTATATTGAGATCTCCTACATGGGCGGGGTGACGGGGGGGGGCGCCCTTCCCCTCGGCTCAGTGGCGCGGCTCTGACATGCAGTGCCGTTGTGGTCTGCACGTCGCGGCCGTCGGCGCTTTCCGTGGACGCGGCCGGGAGGTGGGACGGAGCCTCCCGCGTTGCGAGGGCACGAGCGCTGGCTGACATGGGAGCCTCACCCCCAGTAGGGTCTGCGAGTCTCGCCCAGCAGGGACGGGGGAGGAGGGAAATGTGCGTCTGCCTGCTCCCCATCCACTCTCGTCGAGTGCACGATGCTCCCGAGGGTCTGCGAAGAGGAGGGCGCAACGTAGCAGAAGGCTGCACCTCCCCGGGTCCCACACACGCGAAGATGAGAGGGCGAACCGACGGTGTGAGGGCGAGCCGGCGAGCTCATCCTCCCCCACTCTCCGGCTGGCTGCGATGATGGACCCGCCCGCGGCGTCGGCGAGACTGCCGCGGCGCCCCCCTCCCTGACAGCTGCAGGGCAAGGTACCCTCTTACCCAGACGGGCGCCGGGAGCATCGCGTGGGGCGGGCGATGGCCATCCAGGGTCCATCTCGATCCGAATGGTCCGATTCGGTATCTATACCAGCTGGCCCGATACGATTCGGTTCCGATATTCCGACGGTCCAATGCGGCCCGATACTTGCATGGCCCTGATGTGCATCCTGGCGCGTCCGATTCGACTCGATTCCGACTCCGTGTCGATGCGGCCCGATTCGACGCACGTTCTGGTCCGATCCGATTTAGTGTTTCGATGCTGACTGCTTCTGCCATCTCATCCTGCTTCATCGCTGACCCCGCCCCGCAGACCCCCGCCTAATTCCTCCTCAGACCCGCCTTCCCGCAGGCTGCTTCCCGCCACAGCACGTGTGGCGGACGATGACCACTTGAGCCTCCTCCATCACTAATCCCATCTCGCAGACTCCCAGCCGAACTCTTGCCCACATGCCCCCTACGCCTCCGCAGCACGCGTGGCGGACGATGACCCCTCAGCCTCTTTCATCACTGCCCCTACCTAGCAGCCCCCCGCCTAACTCCTCCTCGGCCTCAACCCCCCCCCCGCCCCTGCAGCACGTGGGATGGACGATGGCCACCTCGGCCTCTTCCATCACTGACCCTACCCAGCGGACCACCCCCGCCTGACTCTTCCTCAGCCTCGCCGCCTCCGCCCGACCGCCTCAGCCTCGCCGCCTCCGCCTCAGCCCGCCGCCTCAGCCCACCGCCTCCGCCTGACTCTTCCTCCGCCTCGCCGCCTCAGCCTCGCCGCCTCCGCCCGTCTCCCCTAGCACGCGGGGCGGACAACGGCCTCCTCGGACCTCCCCGCCTCCGCCCGACCGCCGCGCCCCATCGGGCGCCGCACCCGCCCCGCCGATGAGGGCTCGACCCTTCCCTCGTGGAATCGCCGATCCTCGCCTTCAGCCTCCCGAGCCGCCCCGGGACCGTTCGGGGCCAGGGGCCCAGCGGAAAAGGGCCGTGTGCGGCAGGGTGCGGGCCCGCTATTCGGAGGCTGATAGACCTCCTACCCTGACACGCTGATTACCGAATTGGCCGTTCTCGGTTCGCGAGAGGGCGTCGCGGCCGTCATTTTCGCGGGTCCAGGTCCGTCGGTTTCGGTCCCAGGCCGTTTTCACTAAAGGGAGGTTCACTCAAGGGAGGTTTGTCCACCGCCGAGATATGGGCCTGGCGGAGACCCGGTGGCGGCGGACGCCTCCTTCTCCGTACGTCTGCAGGTCGACGTTGCCGTGTCTGTGCATCCCTGGCTGCTGCTGCCGCCTCGAGTGCCAACGCCGTCGCTGCTACAAGCGGCAGCGAGCGCGGCGTCGAGAGGGGCAGCATGCTGCGGGGTCTCTAGCCGTGGCAGGCGGAGAGGACGTTAAATGTTATCTCTCATTCTGTCTCCTCGTACCTCTCGTCTATGTGTGTGGCCTTCTCCTTGCGTCTCCTTTCATATGGACTGGGGGGGCTGGGCCTCTTCCCATTGCTGCGTGCAGTCGCCTTCATTGTGTCCGCGGTGCGCTTGCCATGTTTCTCCCCACCCAGGGGACAGAGAGGGGATGGGAGCGAGGAAGAAGGGAGGAGGGAACCAAGAAGCCATAACACGCACTTAAGGGGATCAGCGTATGCAGCTTTGTTTCACATGACTCTCATGCCATGCACGGTAGATGTCTCCTCATGTTTAAGAGCCTGGTGGGCCGAACGCCGTCTGAGGGGTGTCGGGACACCATGCCAGGCAGAGCGCATTCTTCCTGATGTCGGGTACGTTGTATTCGTGTATTGCCTAGTGGGCGAATCACTCGCTACTTCAAGTTCGGGGGCGCTATGAAAGGAAACAATGAAGGGTCAACACATCCATGCCTTCAGCATGAGAACTGCAAGGCACTTCGGACGAATCAAACTAGAGACGCGCGGTGAGGCGGGCGAGGTTGATTAATGTGCATGTTACAGCGTGACTTGGGTAGGAAAAGTGCGTCATGCAAGGGTGCGTATGTTGCGTAAACACAAGGTGGCCCAGGGCAGTCAATGCAAACCAGAGGCGGACACACAGGAGCGGCCAGGCAATGCGAGACGAGCTAAGACGGCGAAGGCACGATCATGGCACAGCAGGTATGTTTGTACCCGCCCGTAGGCTGGGTACATCTTCCTTCGGCCGTCTTGGGCAAGGCTGTACCTGCCGGGGCCGTCTTGAATATGATTCGGATGCCCGCAGTCCAGACCTCTGACGCCAGCTCAGCATGGCTGTTGTGAAGCCTCTGAGGCACGCTGCTAGGTAAGGAGCAATTCGTCCTGAATTCTTGCGGCTACGCTGTCCTGTTGGCCGCGTTCCAAACCACGCGGGCAAATTAGGCGACGCGCCCTAAACGGACCAGGGTGGGCGACTCCAGCCGTCGTACTGTTAGTTGCACATGGACTTGCTGATAGTGCACTTGCGATTCATGGACAGGTGCTTCGCTGGTTCGTCGCGGTACATGTATGCGTGATTATTCGATTGTGCGTGTTTGAGTGCTCGGTTGTGGTGAAGGGAGCTATGCACCGGTACGCTACCACGGGCTTGTTATTGGCGTCAACGATCGGGGTGGTGACGGCCGTTGGTAATCGTGGCAGCCATGCTCATCATGCTTTGCTGGCTGGGGCTTGTGACGATAACGGACATGATAATGTGGGCGGGGAGATTGTTCCCATCTCCAAGTTCATAGACGATCATTGTGCGATATTTGAGGACGTAGAGGAAGCCTGTCCCTGCAACATCATCATTCTCCTCGTACCTTGCTTCTCGTCGTGACCTCCCCCTTGTCTCCCCATCTTAGACGCCTTGCAGCATTCGCCTTCCCACCCCGAGGGATTGTCCCCTTCCGTCCAGGGCTTCGCGCGTTGCGTTGCCTCTCGAGTTGGCCTGTGTGCGCTTGTACGGACTCTGGTCCCTGCAGCATTGGCGTCTTCGTGATCCGAAAGTCCACCTCGAGCGCTCGAGCGTTCGATGCAGATCGCGCGTGCCCCTCTCCAGCCCCACCTGCGTGCCACCGTCGTCGTGTTGTCTGGGGGCGCCGGCTACGGCAGGTTCGTGCCCTGAGGGTGCGGCGGCCGCCCCATCGCTGGCGTTCCAAGGCTGAAGGCCGCCGCTGGCCCTGAAGCAGGCCGACATGGGGCGGTCCTGCGCGATCGGGACGCCGCGATCGCTCCCCGTCCTCCCCGTCTTGCGCCCCTTCCGCGGGCGGGCAGTGCTGCGGCTTTGCACGCTCCCCGCCCGGTCATGGGCCAGGGGCTGCCGCCCGCAGGCCGCGAGAGCCTGCAGTTTCGAGCCGCGGGCTCCTCCTCCTCCTCCTCCTCCTCCTCCTCCTCTTCCTCCCCCGATTCTCCCTTCTCCCTTGTCCTCGTCTTCCTCCTCGTTCTCCTGCTCCTCCTCCTCCTCCTCCTGCTCCTCCTCCTCCTCCTCCTCCTCCTCCTCCCTGGCTGGCTGGCTGCCTGCCTGCCTGCCTGCCTGCCTGCCTGCCTGCCTGCCTGCCTGCCTGCCCGCCTGCCTGCCTGCCTGCCTGCCTGCCTGTCTGCCCGCCTGCCTGCCCGCCTGCATGCCTGCCTGCCCGTTGGTGGAGGGCCGACCCCGAGGCGTCTCGCCGACGTCCAGCAGTCGCTCCCCCCAAGGAGCCTGGGGCAAGCTCAACGCCCCGGCCCTGCCTCCGGGCTGCGCCCCCGGGGTGCTCGATGCCTCGGCGCCCCAGCGCCGGGGCGCCAGGGCTGCCTCTGGCTGCTCGGGCGGGCCTGCGGAGGCCAGCCGGGGCTGCCCAGGGCGGCTGCCTGTGCGCAGCCCGAAGCCTCGCCGCGCCGAGGCACGAGCCCATGGGGCAGGCGAGCTCCGCCGCGCGCTACATTCGCGCAGTCGCCACGACACCGTCGTGAAGAGTGCCGGGGGCCGGCGCGCAAGTCGTCACGGCACCGCCCTGTGGCGCCTGTGCCCGTCCTTGTCGGTCCCGTCCTGGGCCACGGGCCTGGGGCGACCCCGAGGCGTCTCGTCGACGTCGTGCGATCGCTCAAGGTCGAGCGATCCCCAGACATGCGGCCGCTCCAAGTTCTTTGACGCGTGGTCCTCGGAGGTCCGGACCACTTCCCTAGGGCCGCTTCTTCGTCTCGAGCCGTGTCTCGACGCTCCCGGCCGCCCGCCCTGCCCCGTGTTCCGCTCGTGCATGCTGGCCAGTTCGCTACAGCGGTGTTCTTGTTCAGCCCGCTCGCTGGTGCTGCAACCGCCGCCTCTCCGCCGGCGGACAAAGTGTCCCGACGGCCGCCGTCGGCCTGCCGTCGGCCCCCGGAGGCCCCCAGGACCGCCAGCAGCCCGCCGCGGATGCAACATTTTTTGTCGGCGCGTCGGATCTCTGGGCCCGCGCGGTGCCAGAAGCTCCTCCTCCTCCTCCTCCTCCCCCTCCTCCCCCTCCTCCTCCCCCTCCTCCTCCTCCTCCTCCTCCCTCCTCCTCCTCCTCCTCCTCCTCCTCCTCCTCCTCCTCCTCCTCCTTCCTCCTCCTCCTCCTCCTCCTCCCTCCTCCCTCCTCCTCCTCCTCCTCCTCCTCCTCCTCCTCCTCCTCCTCCTCCTCCTCCTCCTCCCTCCTCCTCCTCCTCCTCCTCAGAACGTGCCGTGGCGCCCGCTGCCCGGCCCCGGTCGGTCCCGTCCCTCCGGGCCTCCCAGGAGGGGGCCCGAGCAGCTCGGGGTCGGAGGATCGCGCCGCATCGCCGAGGCATCGGCGATGCGGCTCGACGTGGAGCCCGATGTCCTCCACGCCGAGGGCGCCGATGCCTCGCCGACGCATCGCCGATGCAGCGCCGATGCGGCGCGATCCTCCGACGCCAGGCTACTCGGGCCCCCTCCAGGAGGCCTCTGGCCCCGAGGCCAGGGGCCAGAGCGGTGTGCCGCCCTCCTGGCTTCGGGGGCGGCGGTGAGCGCGCAGCGGCACCGAGGAGCCTGAGCTTAGAGAAGGCCTGGCCAGGGTCGGTGTAGATACGTCGTGCTCTCTCTCTCTCTCTCTCTCTGTGTCTTCGGCGTCACCCCGACATGCTAATACTATGCGTGCCTCGCCCCCCCCAGGGGCGACGCGCGCACCGAGAGATCCTAGAGTATATGCGTCGTGGCGGGCGCTTTCTGGCCACACCGCTGGGGAAACGAGCTACTATAAGACGGGTATACTATAGATTCGGGTCGAACGCACGCCTCCAAGGTGGACATAGTACTACAGGCCCGGAACAATTTCTCCTCACGCCACACCAAGGTCCTAAGAACAACCGAAGTACAAACGAAACCTTTCGCGCCCAACCCCGTCCGCCTCAGTGGACATGTTGTCCAAACGCTCCCCCCGCCCCATACTGGCTCGCGCTGGGACGGGGAGCCTGGGGTGATCCAGTCCTTTAGTTAGAACTCTATTATGGAGAGTGGGTGGAGCCTGGTTTGGGCGATTCTGCTTGGGACGTCCTCCAAATCTGCCTGGTTGGGACCCTGGTCTGGCCTGGATTGGCCTGATTTGGCTTGGCTTGGCGGCGCAAGCCGCCTGAGACATCCTCCGAATTTGCTTGGTTTGGCCCCTGGTTTGGCCCGGTTTCGCTGGAGACGTCCTCACAATTTCCTTGGTTTGGCTTGGTTTGGGCTTGGTTTCGCCTGAAACGATCTCGCAATTTGCCCGGGTTCGCGTTGGTTTTGCCTGGTTTGGGCCCGGTTTCGCTTGAGACATCCTTGCAATCAGCTTGGTTTCGGCGCGGCTTCGTTCGAGACGTCCTCGCAATTTGCTTGGTTTCGCTTTGGTCTCGCCTGTTTTCGGCCCGGTTTCGCCCGATACGTCCTGCAATCTGCTCGGTTTCGGTTGAGTTCGGCGCAGTTTCGCTTGAGATGTCCTCCCTATTTGGTCGATTCCCCCTGGTTTTTGCAAGGTTTCTCCTGAGACGTCCTCGCCATTTGCGTGGTTTTGGGCCCTGGTCAGTAGTATTATTTTGGAAGCGAACGCCCGTGAGGGCAATAGGATGTCTGCTGTTGTGAAAGTGTCCGCTCACAAAGATCTCGATGAGTCGGGCATCGACACGTTTGAGAGGTTTTGTCGCAAGTGCAATAACGATGCTGACGCTGCCGCCAAAGGTGCTCTTTCGTTACATGCTACTGACGCTTATGGCCTTGCTGATGTAGACAAACAGGTTGACATCGCCAAGGCAGTGTGCAAGCTCGCCTCTAAAACCCTTCTGGAGTGGCCTAGGCTCGACGTGTCGGAGGTTGAATACCGCCCGCCAGCCCGTCAGCCCTCTCTTTCGTTCGATAAGCCTTGCCATGATTGAGTTTCTTGGTCTGGCTTGTGGCGTTGCTTGCAGAGTTTGTTTGGTTGGCTGTAGGACCGTCGATGAGCCAGAGCCTGGCCACTGCACGGGCAAGAGCAAGTTGGATGAAGGCGTGTGGGTTTCGTTGTGCCATCGAGTGTTGGCGTTTTCTTGCAGCGATGGCTCACACCTTTTTGTTTGCATTAAGTGTCGATATCACAGCACTGGCGCGAGGATCCACGGTCTTGGGAAGGTTTGCACTGAGGTTTCCCCCAGGTACGCCGAGTATTCATGGCGGGACCTCTGCCGAGGCATCCACCCGAACCCCAGGCGTCGCGATGTTTCCGTGAACGTGTATTCTATCTGTGAGTGGTTTGGCACTCCTAAGGATAGGCTCGTGCAACCCACAGGCGGTGGTGCAGATACAGCCCCTGCCGAAGCTGCTGGCTTGGAGGAGAAGGATGTCCCCACTCCCTCGATTGAGCCTCCCCCCCCGTCCTCGGAGGTGGAGGATGCTCGTGACAGGCGCCAGGCAGCTCTGGCCCAACGTCTGCTCACCGCGGCCCAGGGCACGAGTGAGGCAAGGCCTCCATGACAGTTGCCCTGCGCTGCACACTCATCATTCTCTCGTGCCTGTGTCCGAGTGGCAGGTTCGATTTGGGGTTTTGCTGCGCTCAGTGAGGCGGTGCTGGTCTGCTGCCAGCCCTGGGACTCATGCTTTGGAGTTCCGTCGCGCTTGCGTTATTGGCCGTCCTTTTCACTGCCCGTGCTGCTCATGCCCTGTGGTGCACGGATGTGGGGTGGTACCCTGAGGCGACCGTTGCTCAGGGGTGAGCGCTGGACCACCAGCTAGTCTCGCGGCGTGTATGGCGCCTACGGCAGGTTCGATCTGGGGTCTTTGCTGCGCCCTGTGCGGCGGTGCTGGTTACGCAGCCAGACCTGGAACTCGGGCCTTGGAGTTCCGCCGCGCAGGCGCCGCTGGCCGTCCTTTTCACTACCGTGTGGCGTCCTCGCCCTCTGGTGCACGGCTGTTGGGTGATGCCTCCCCTGCGGTGACCGTTGCTCAGGGGGCCGCCAACTCTTCTCTCAGGTTGAGCGGCAAGCATGAAAAATGCACTGCCTTCTCCGTCCAGTGCTGGGCCACCAACCTAGTCTCGCGGTGTGGTAGGCGCCTACGGCAGGTTTGATCTGGGGTCTTTGCTGCGCCTTGCGCGGCGGTGCTGGTTACGCAGCCAGCCCTGGAACTCGGGCCTTGGAGTTCCGCCGGGCAGGCGCCGCGGGCCGTCCTTTTCACTGCCCAGTGGTGTCCTCGCCCCCTGTCGCACGGCCGTGGGGTGATGTCTCCCCTGCGTTGACAGTTGCTCAGGGGGCCGCCAACCCTTTCTTGTACATGTTGCGCGGCAGGCACGGGGGAGGATTTGCCCTCCCCGACCGTATGCCCTGCTGAGGCACTGGACTGTTTTTCTCTTGCCCGACCACGGGGCGGTCGCCCGTCGCGTGGCCAGTGCCTCCTAGCCCACGGGGCTGCTGGAGGTACCCTTTCAGTCAGTGAGGGCGCCCTCACTACCAGCAGTGGTTTCCCAGCCACCGCTGCTGGTTCTGTTTTTTGCACTTGGTTGTGCGGGCGTTGAGCTCAAATGGCACACAGCGTGCATACCTGGAGAGATCTCCGCAAGTTGCCCGGTCTGGGGCGCGGGTATGCCCCGACTACATCTTACACGTGCTCATTCTTATCATCCTCCTCCTCCTCCTTCTCCTGCGCCTCCTCCTCCTCGTCCTCCTCTTCCTCCTCCTCCTCGTCCCCCCTTCCTCCACGTTCGCAATGTTTTCATCCACCCCCACTCGTCAACGAAATCTTCGCCGTCGTCGTCGTCGCCGTCGTCGTCAAACTCATCATCATTAGCATCGTCGTCGTCGTCATCGGCGGCGGCGGCGGCGTCGTCGTGGGGGGCCGGGACGCTCCCAGACACATGGTATTTTGTAACATGGTGCAGGGAAGTGAAGGAACCGTTCTTTCACACACGTGGTTGGCGTAAACATTCGGAACGTTATGGCTCCTGGGTGTTCCCACGGCGCTATTATCGATGTGTGTATGACAGTGGGCTGACATCTCACACAGGTCGTGGGTACAGGCACGCGCAAGAGGACCTCCCTCTCTCTTTCCCTCTCTCTTTCCTTCTCTCCCTCCTCCTCCTCCTCCTCCTTCTCCTCCTCCTCCTTTTCCGCCCCTTTCGAGCCTCGAGCTGCGGACCTTTGGTTCTCACTTAGGGCCGCAGCCCTCGCGCGGCGCTTCCCTCGTCGTCCATTCCCCATCGGCGTGAGTGCTCGATTGAGTGCTTGGGGGCAGGCGCGCGTGCCAACGCGGGCTGGTGGATAGCCGAACGCGGGAGGGGGCTCTCCAGGGCCAAAGGGGGACCGACGGAGGGGCGAAGCCAGGGAGAAGCAACAACGGGAGGACGAGAGAAGCCACGGCGGAGCAGACGGTGGGAGAGCACAGGAGGAGGGGTCGCCAACACAGGCGACGCACCCCTTTCCATCTCATAGGAGGAGGAGGAGGAGGAGGAGGAGGAGGAGGAGGAGGAGGAGGAGGAGGAGGAGGAGGAGGAGGAGGAGGAGCAGGAGGAGGAAATCCTCTTCCTCCCGCGTTTAGTCGCGCCAGTTGCCCTTTGTGTTTTTGTCCTTTTCTGCTTTACTCGCGCGCCGCCGAATGCGCGCGAACCTCCTGTCTCCTCAGGGGGCCGCTCCGCAGGAGCTGGCACGCAGTCTGTACTTGTAGATGCAACTTCAGCTCTTTGTCCCTCTCGCCCTCTCCCTCTCTCTCTCTTTCCCTCTCTTCCTAGAGTCGCGCACGGAGGAGAACAAACTCGAGTACACATCGGTGCACAACCGCTTCAAAGAGCTGATCGACAGCCTCCTGGCCGCGCACCTCTGCGAGCTCCAGATCACGGAGGCCCCTCCGCGGCAGCCGCACCCCCTCCCCTGCCCACCCACGGGCCGGGTGTGGCTGGAAGTACCCCTGGCCCAAGGTCCCCCCAGGGTTCTCGGGGTGGCCCAGACGGCCTCCAGGGCACCCATCACGAGGCCCAGAGGGCCCCAGGGGCTCCAAAATGGAGCGCAAAGCTGGGGGCACCTTGGGCCAGGGGCACTTCTAGCAGCACCCGAACGGGGGGGCGGAGGCGCGCCGGCGCGAGCACAGCGGCGCGCCCTGCCGTGTCCGAGGTGGTCTGCCGACGTGTCCCGCCGTCGTGCCTCGTGGTCCTCTCTGGGGGAGGCCGCCGCCGACCGACCCCTGTCGGCGGCGCGCCCACGGGGGGCAGGCAGAGGGGCCGTGCCGTGCCAGAAGGCTCAGGTGTCTTCTGGCCTCCCTCCTCCTCCTCCTCCTCCTCCTCCTCCTCCTCCTCCTCCTCCTCCTCCTCCTCCTCCTCCTCCTCCTCCTCCTCCTCCTCCTCCTCCCTCTCCCTCTCCCTCTCCCTCTCCCTCTCCCTCCCTCCCTCCCTCCCGCCCAAGGGGGACAGGCAGAGGGGGCATGCCGTGCCAGAAGGCTCGGGTGTCTTCCGGCCTCCTGAGAGGCCTCCTGCACCTTCGCTGGAGCCACAGGGGGCTTCCCAGGAGGGGGGTGGGCTTCTGAGAAGGCCCGCCGCCTTCTGAGGAGGCCTGCCCCCTCTCACTTCCCACCCGTCCGTTCTTGCCGCAGCGCTCGCTCTGCTCTGCCCGCCTTCTTCTCGCTGTTCTGTGCGCGAGTCTGCCGGCATCATCTCTCTCTCTCTCTCTCTCTGGCTGCATTGTCGGCGTTCACAGGGGGGATACAATGACCAATAGCCAGCGGTGGGTCCGATGAGGCTTCACTTGACCCTTCGGCGCGCCGTCGAAGGGCGCCGCCTGATCCCGAGAACCAGGCGTCGCATTCTTTTGCACGCCTGGCGCTTGCGCGCAGTTTCTCGCCCGGGCGGCTCGTTTTGGTTCGAGAGGTGCCGCAGAGAGATGGGGACGAGTCGGAGGCCCAGAAGGTGGCACCGACACCAAGATCGGCTGCCCCATCCACCAGGGGATGGAGGATCCTGGTGGCCGAAAGTGTACCACCAGCACCAGACTTCAAGGTCCTCTCCCCGTGGTGAAGGCTTCCCTCTGTGTTGGTGCTGGTGCCGAATTGTACGCCTTCGAGCGTGGTTGGTCGCACTTTTTCATAATGCTTCATCGCCTTTGTCACTTCACCTCTTGTTTACTGCCACCCGTTCACGAACACCGGGACGCCGCGCGGCTTGAGGGCAGGTTGCCCTGGATCACACATGGTCGTGCAGCACCCCGCCGTCGTCGTCGTCGTCGTCGTCGTCGTCGTCGTCGTCGTCGTCGTCGTCGTCGTCGTCGTCGTCGTCGTCGTCGTCGTCGTCGTCGTCGTCGTCGTCGTCGTCTGCGATTGGTGAGCGGGTGTTGGGTCGTGCTTTTTCAGAGCGCTTCCTCGCTTTTGTCGCAACGTCGGGCCTCCTGGGGAAACACCCGAAGGATTGCAAAAAAACCCCTGGAACGAAGGATTGCAAAAAAACCTGGGTTTTTTTGCAATCCTGGGTTTTTTTGCAATCCTGGGTTTTTTTGCAATCCTTCGTTTTTTTGCAATCCTTCGTTTTTTTGCAATCCAACCTCTGCCCCTGCCGCTCCTGGGCCCCCGGCTCCTTGCCTCTGCCGGCGGGGGCGGGGGCGTGCTCGACGCCGGCAGCGCTGGCGGCCCCTGGAGCGCTGGCACCCCTCCCCCCCCCTGTCCTCCTACTCTTCCTCCCTCCTCCTCCTCCTCCTCCTCCTCCTTTTCCTCCTTTTCCTCCTCCTCCTCCTCCACAATTGCTCAATCTGAATACTACTCTCCCTCTTCCCCTGATGACGGCCTGGGAGTGTCCGCCCCCCCCCCCCGCGTACTGTTTTTTCACACACACAGGTTTCCCCGGAGTTGGGTCTTCGCCTGCATTTTTTTTCAAAATGCTGCTCTCGCTGAGGCGCCGGCCTCATTTTCGGGCCCCGCTCGTTCCGAATCGTGCTCCCGCTGCAGCGCTGGCCTCATTTCTGTGCTTCTGCTCGTTCCGAATCGTGCTCCCGCTGCAGCGCTGGCCTCATTTCCGCGCTTCTGCTCGTTTCTACTCGTGCTCCCGCTGCAGCGCTGGCGTCATTTCCCGTGCCATGCCACGGCATGCAATGCAATGCTCGGTTGATACTACGCTTTGCGGTGCTCTTCTACGCCATGCCATGCCGTGCTCTACAATGCATCGCGTACCCTTTCGGGATCATTGCCCTGCTCGACATCCGACTGTGCGAGTAGAGAGGGGATCTGCGCCAGGGTAAGGGATGGGAGGGAGGGGTAGGATGTCAGATATGACGCGAGCGCACCTAGCTTGTCCTCCTCCTCCTCCTCCTCCTCCTCCTCCTCCCTCCTCCCCCCCCTGAACAGATCGAGGCGGCCAGTTTGTCGCCAGCTTTGGCCCCAGGAGGCCCGTGTCGGTCCTCGGGGCCGTCAACAAAGGGCTCGGAACGAAACGCCAGCCCTGGGGGAGTCGGGCGGGGCCAGGACGAGGATGAATCCGTTCCAGAGCATCCGGAACACTCCGAGAAGGCCGGGGCGCCCGAGACATCCTCCAGAGCCGCGGGATCTAGGAGAGTCTCGATTTTCCCTGACCCGTTTGTATCCTTGTCTTGGTTTCGTCTCAGGGGGGGGGTCAGAGGTCCAGGGGCCCGCGCATCGAACGCCAACCGGAGTGCCGGATGCCCGGGGAGGCGGAAGCGGGGAGCACGAGGGTTTGGCGTCCCCTCTCGAAGCCCAAGCTTGACCGAGGTCGGCGCATCCCTCTGACGCCGATCACCGTGTCCTCCATGCGGCGGCGAACGAGGGGGGGGGGGAGTCGAGAAGGGTCGGGCCTGCTCGGGAGGTTCTGAGTCTGAGGCTCCCCCCGGCCTGCCGAGAAGTTTCCCCAAGCCTTCCCCGAAGACGCAGGGAGAGCCTTTTCGAAGGTGCGCGGGCTTCTGGGAAGTCCCGCCGCCTTCCGAGAGTGCCTTCTCCTTCTCGCCTCCCCCGCTCGCTTGCCGCCGATCGGTGCGGCGAAGTCGGGTCGATGCTTCTGCCAGCGCCCCCGTGTGTGTCGCTGGGCGGTCGAAGGGCACACGCTTAAGTCGGGCCTGTCCCTCTACAGGGGGGATGCTCAAGACTAGGCCAAAGATAGTCTGGGGACGATCTTTGGAGTATTTTTGACCATTTTGGATAATTTTTGGGATATTTTTGTTCTTCGTCCTAAATTCAATCCTCCTGTAGGGGGACAGGCTCGACTTAAGCATACGCACCGATCCTCGGGGTAGGATCGGCCCGGCTGGGATGGGTGCAGGTGTGCAGCTGGCGTCCTGCCAGTGTTATGGCACGTGCCGACAGGTTCGAGTTTCGCTGCTGATGTTGACGACAGCGAGGGCGGCAGCGCTGACGAGGATGAGGGTGTGCATGGGGAGATGGGACGAGGAAGGGGGGGGAGGAGGAGAACAAGGAGGATCGCGAGCAGAAGTGGGAGGGGTGAGGAGGAGGCGGCGGAGGAGGAGGAGGAGGAGTTGGGGGAGGGAGGGAGAGAGAGAGAGAGAGAGAGAAAACGAAAAGGGAGGAGGAGTAAGGGGAGGTAGAGCGAGAGAGCGAGAGAGAGAGAGAGAGAGAACGAAAAAGGAGGAGGAGTAAAGGGGGATAGAGCGATAGAGAGAGAGAGAGAGAGAGAGAGACAACGAAAAAGGAGGAGGAGGGAGGAGGAGGAGGAGGAGGAGGAGGAGGAGGAGGAGGAGGAGGAGGAGGGAGGGAGGAGGAGGAGGGAGGAGGAGGAGGAGTAAGGGGAGGTAGAGCGATAGAGAGAGAGAGAGAGAGAGAGATAACGAAAAGGGAGGAGGAGTAAGGGGAGGTAGAGCGAGAGAGAGAGAGAGAGAGAGAACGAAAAGGGAGGAGGAGTAAGGGGAGGTAGAGCGAGAGAGAGAGAGAGAGAGAACGAACGAGAAAAGAGGAGGAGTAAGGGGAGGTAGAGCGAGAGAGAGAGAGAGAGAGAGAGAGCGAGAGCAGGAGCGCGAGACGAGATGGAGGAGAAGCAGGGTGGAGCAGTGGCAGACGACGAGGCACAGCAGCACATCGCCCACCGGCGGGCCAGTCCGTCTGCCACCGGCCCTGCAGACGGAGCCACCGCGTGGGCACACACCGGAGCTCCACTGCGGCCATCCTGGGGCCTCTCGGGGCCGCCTTCGGGTCCCCTTTGGGCAATCGCGGGGTCATCTTCGTGCCCCTGGGGCCCCTCTTGAGGGCATCGTGGGACCATCGTGGGGCCTCGTCGGGCCCTCCTGGGCGATTCGGGTGGCATCTTGGGGCCTTCTGGGGCCACCTTGGGGCCGTCTTGGGCACGTTCGGGGGCCCCTTGGGCCGCCCGGGACACGCTACGAACATTGCAGACACTCGAGCTTTCTGCGCTCTCGGGAGCGTCGTGGGGCCCTCCTGGGCCATCTTAGAGGGGTCTCAGCGCCATCTTCGGCCGTCTCTCGAGACCCCGTTCGGGGCTGCTCGGGGCCGTCCTCGAGGCCTCTTGGGCCTTCCTGGCAGTCGGACGCGTCCCATGGTAATTCAAATGCAGCCTAGAACGACCAGGATATTTCTTTTCGTTGTTGTTTTGTTGGGTGTCCTGAGCCCCCCTAGTAGACAGTACAATGGAGAGAGGACCTTGGAGACAACGGGCAAGACAAAAAGGACAACACACGCAAATTGTGACCGAAAGAGCGCGCTCGTGGCACACTAAAAACGAAAAGGGGGGCCCCAGTTTCAAGCTGCCCCGCCCCTCCCGTGGAAAAGGGGGGGGGCTTCCGAAAGTACCCTCCCCCTGCTCCCCACCCTTGTGCGTGGTCATTATTTAGTTGGGGGGGCCTAGTTAAAGGGTTGGGGGGGCTTGGAAGCCCCCCCCCCTCCCC